CTACTACATAGCTGCTTCACTCCGAACCCTACTTGCACCGGTGCAGGGGTGCAGGGATCTCTGCTCCTCTTCCATAAACCGTGCTACTGGCTACTCGGTTATACCTTTAAACTGGAGAGTAAATCTGTGGCTTCTATGGTCACATTTTCTACATCCCCCGTGGCGGGGCTTTCCTATGGGGCCACGTCCCTATGCCGGTGTGGTGGTGTGGTGTTCATGTCCCCTCCTCTCCCCTCTCCTCCCCGGGGAGGCTCCCCTCGCGCCGCAGATCATCCAGTCCAACCTCGGCCGCGCGGTGACCACACACGTGATCAACATCACGGAGCGGGGCGTGTACTGCGAGCTGCAGGTGGAGGCGCCCGGGAGACACGGAGACGGCTCCAAGGGGGGCTCCCGGCCGCCTCCGTCGGCGGCAGGGCATCGGCAGGCAGCAGCCGCGGCGGCGCCGTCGGCCGCCTCGACCGCGGCCGAGCCCCAAAGGGTGATGATTCAATCTCCGGATCGCCCCACGGTGGAGAATTTGGCTCCGGCTCCGGCTCCGGATCGGCCCATGATGATGATGATGGTGCACCAGCAGCTGGCGTTCCTGCCCCGGGAGTCAATGGCGGCCCCTCTGGCGGCTGATTGGGATGAATTGGTGGCTGTTGATAAGGTAGGTGGGGGGCAGGTAGGGGATGTGGTTAGGCTGGGGATTAACTTAGGGCTTTGGTGGGGGAAGTTTGGGGTCTGGGGAGTTTTCGGAGTTTTGCCAGGCGTCAGCGCTTTGGACGCTTTTGTGCCATTTTGGCTTAGCAAAGAGCTGTTCTCATGACATGGATAGTTTTTATCACCGTGTGTGGGGGTTGTGTGTTCAGAAGTCCCGAAGACTTACTTGCAGCCTGAGCCCTCCTGAGCCTGAGCCCTCGAGCTGTTTCCGTTCTACCCGATGGGGGCAGTTGGCGAGGTTGGTTTTCCCCGGGGATGCTGCTCAATCTTCCAACACAGCAATCCAGCTCGAGTTTTCCCAGAAAACACCCTTCTTCACTCCTTTTTCCTGAACACCAATGTGCATTGAAATGTGTGCTCAAACGCACTCACACACAACAACGGCCGCCAGTCTCAACATTAAGACCTCCACCTGCATCTCAACCTGCGCCCGCTTAAACCGCCATGCCCGTGCACAGGACTTTCGAGCACTCGCCGCTGCCCGGACCGCTGGCGACACCGCCCTGCTTGCGGACTTGATGTTACGTCCCAAGTTCAAATCCCAGTCGGAGCGCAGGATGCGCATGGGGGACGTGCTGATGGCCCTGCTGGAGAGTCATGTCATGTGCATGACCAGCTCTGCTTCCTCAGTGCTGCCCATGGCCATCCTATCCCAGGTTCCGCACCGGGCTAGTCCCGCACTGCTGCAGGCGCTGGATCTGACTGCTGCTGCTACTGCGGTGCCGCCGCCGCCGCCGCCTCCTGGGGCTGCGGCCGTTACGGAGGCCTCCGCCGGTGTCAGTAGCAGTAGCAGCAGCAGCGGCGGTGGCGGCAGTGATGTGGATGGGGTCGCTGCGCAGATCAGCACTCTCCTTGGAGCTGAGACACGACCCGCGGAGGGAGAGGGGAAGGAGGGGAAGGAGGAGGGGGAGGCCGCCACTATGGCGGCAGGCGGTGGAGGCCACTAATATGAGGCGCCGGGGTATAGCAGTTTTGCCCTCCCATTGGTGAAGGGGGCCAAGGTGCCTGCGACCTCTGTGATGGTGGTGGTGATGGTGGTGGTGCTGCTGGTGCATACTTGGTCCATGCTTCAATATTTGTGTTTTTTGCCCCGGATGGGGCTCTTGCTGCAGCCGTACGGGTCGAGTGGGTGTTGGGCTGCACGGGTCCGGTGGTGAGGACAGTGAGGATGATTTGGCGCTGTCGGTGTATTATTACTGTTGGTGGCGACAAGGTGGGGGGGATATAAATATTGGTGAGTCATAAGGGGGCGCTGATAGGGATGTGCTGACTGCTTAGTGGGGGCCTATCAGCAGTAGCAGTAGCAGCAGCAGCAGGAGGAGAAGGAGGAGGTAATTAGTGGCAGAGGAAGAAGGGCGAAGAGTGAGAGAGGACGCCTGTTTTGGGTTTAGGGTTTTTTAGGATATTGGAGTGTATGTGTATATATATTACAGACATACATCATGCCCTCCTGCGAAGGGAGGTACGGCACATGGGGCGCCTGGGGTGGATTACCACAGTTGATACCGGCGGCTGCGGCCCGCCGCCGTAGCAGCATCGGCTGCATGCGGACATATCTTCCTGCATGCCTGGGCCCCGGACAGCACACCGGCCGCCCGGCCGCCCGCCCGCGCACCTTGGGAAAGGGAAAGTCTCATCAAGTACGTCCCGACCACCTCCTGGCTTCTCGTACCAGGCTCTGCAAGAAGCTCGCGTCTGGGTCTGCACGGGGCGGTCGACGACGGGGAGAAATGCTCCCCCATTCGACCTTTTGGTCCGTTGCAGCCCACAGAGGCGGCCAACGGGTCACCAAGCGGTGACTCTATGGTTTAATAAAAATATACTTCGCGCTTTCGGTTCTGGACATTGTCAACTGTCGAAAGCTATGTAAGGCAACAGCTGCTACGTGCTAGGAGGAGTTGGGAGGGATTCCGGCGGTCGATGATAGTGCAGTACGACGCATTAGTGTAGACTCTGACCTAGGTGACGGATAGCCCGGTACTTCCGGTAATACAACGCGAAGAAAGATTCCACAAACAAGCAGAACAGAAACTAAGGGATGGCGCACAAAAGCTAAACCTTGGACGACCGCCGCAAGCAGCATAGCGGTCCATGTTGCCGATTCTTAGGAGCTGAGCAGCCGACTGGTGTCAGTCCAATGAAAATCTTTCCATCTTGGATGTTTCGCGGGTGAGGAACGGAATATGCTGGTGTGTGATGGCTAACGGCTAACCGCTTGCCGTACGAGTGAAGACTGCAGAGTCATGTCGTACAGCGATTGGCTGCTCATGTGGGGATTTCGATGGGATACACACTTTTTCCCCCTTGGGGAAATTCTGTGTGTGTGTGGGGAGAGAGGTGTGAGGGGGAAATGGAGGAAAAGAACAGCATAATGCATGCAACCCTAAGTGACGAGCCCTACTAGCCCCACAGCGGACAAGGACCCCTTTTGAGTGCTCTGGCCATAGCTGCCTCGGTCCGAATGACGAACCGAGCAACATTATTAGCGACCAATGAATTAGTAAGTAAACAGAGTACGTTTTATCACTGTACATGCGTTGCGATGTAACTATAGCCGCATGTATACAGTATGTACTATACTGTAAACTACTGTTCGAAGCTGGATAAGAAGTCACACCGCAATAGCTCCACATCATTAACAGGTTTTGACTGCTCTGCTGCAGCAGCTGTTGCTCGCACGTGTCTACCTGAGCGGCCTGGGGACTCCGTCACGCTGCTCTGCAACAGCCACAACAGCCGCAACGACGAGCCCCAACCCTTTCACGCATCGACTGTCCCTTGCCGGAGGGGGCACACAACCACCGGCAGTGATATGAATCGTCGCAGGGGGTTGCGTTGCGTTCCCAATTACCTAGGTGCCACGATCATCAAGGGCTGATGCATGAGCAGTGACCCCTCCCCTATTCCACCATTCCTGTAAAATTAACGCGATTGTAAGATCATATGGGAACAGACATCTGTAACCTAACCAAGCCGGGATTACAATCACCGGGATTGTGAATCGGTGTGTGCTCACATCACCACTGCCCCCCCCTCACACACACACACACACGCCGGGAAGTCCGCCACACGCCGCACGGTACGCGGGTTCTTAAAACCCTACACCGCTCCAAACGATCTGCTTGCTAGCTGAACTGCCCGCGATCTTTTCATACATACGTACGTACATAAGTACATACATACACACGTATACCGGCTACTCCCCCTCCTGCAACTCCACCATCCCGACTCCTGGAATGCTATGGGGGAGGAGCTATGAAGATATCCCCCATGCTGCTTCGTACGTCCGCCACCGCCGCCGCCAACGCCTCCCCGTCCCGCGACGTGAAGGCCAGCTTGACCTTGTACGGCGCGGCGTCTGTGTCGGCCGCCGTGTGCGGGTACGACCTGAAGACCGCATGGACGCAACATGAGGCCGGAGGAGGGGTCGGGGGCCCCGGAGAAGTCCGTCGTGTATTGTTACGTATGTGTATGTATGTATGTATGTATGTATGTATGTATGTATGTATGTATGTATGTATGTATGTATGTATGTATGTATGTATGTATGTATGTATGTATGTATGTATGTATGTATGTATGTATGTATGTATGTATGTATGTATGTATGTATGTATGTGTGTGTGGAGGGTGGGAGAGGACGTGACTGGACCCAACGGGGATCGGCTCCAGCGCGATCCAGTCCGGCGGAACGACCTGAACCTGAACCTGGGGGGCACTGGCACTTCCTGACGCGCGAGAGTTCAGGGGGCCTCTGGGGACTTCCCATGCCGGGGGGGGGTTGCGGAGGCGGTGAATGGCTCCATTGAGGGGATGGCCGCCACTGTGGCTGCAACACAGCAGCAGCAGTGGTAGTAGCAGTAGCAGTAGCAGTAGCAATAGCAATAGCAGTAGCAGTAGCAATAGCAGTAGCAATAGCAGTAGCAATAGCAATAGCAGCAGCAATAGCAGTAGCAATAGCAGTAGCAATAACAATAGCAGCAGCAATAGCAGTAGCAGTAGCAGTAGCAGTAGCAGTAGCAGTAGCAATAGCAGTAGCAATAACAATAGCAGCAGCAATAGCAGTAGCAGTAGCGGCGAGAAACCAGCCGGTGTGTGTTCCCTCGGTGCCACCACGGGATATTGACAATGCAGGCCCATCATCAAGGGGAGAAAAGACCCGTCACCGCCTCCCCATCACAACATACCCAACCAGGCAGCCACAGAGCCACCCATCCTACCCAATGGCCACGTGCGGGTGTTTAGCCGCCACCGCTGTCAGGGCCTGAGCCAGGTCGCTCTCCCCCAGACGAGTATACAGGGCGGCGGACTGGAAGGCGACTCCCGTGAAGCGCTCCTGGGGATCAGAATGCGTGTCTGTCTGTCTGTATGTGTGTGTGTGGTCGTGGGAAGGGGCTGGCCAATGGACTTGGCGGTTTGAGAAACTTTGAGGGGTGGCAGGGCCTCTGTGTGGGTTTTAGGAAGGTGTGCTTCCCACCACAACCACAACCATAACCACCTAAAAACAAGCAGGCAGACGGACATACATAAAGACACTCACCTGGTGTGCGGCGATCATGGCCTGGAACAGCCGCGGTATGCCCGGCAGTACATACACTCCCCTCAGATTCACCAGGGGCACCCACAAGCCCTGGGTGAACAGCACCTCGCTGGGAGTGGGCAGCGTGGCCTGCCGGGCCGGGGGGGTTGCGGGGGCCGGGGGGGTTGCGGGGGGGTGCATCCTACGGGGGTACGGCCCCTCTGGGACGGGTGAGCCAAAGCGCATGGTGGCGAGGCGTGCTGCGAGTACTGGGTTCGGCGGGTGTATAACTCGGAAGAGGAGGGGGACGACGACACACACACAGACACAAATTACAAACGTGTAAACACCCTTCGGCCCCACCTTGGCCCTCAACTCACCATCCTCAGCCGTGCATCGTTCAGCTCCAAACCCCGTGCTGAGTACGACACCCTCATTCTCTCCACCGTGGGTTCGTGCAGCTGTAGACTCACACCTGGCGGTTGGTGGTGGTGGTGGTGGTGGTGGTTGGGGGAGGAGGGGGGAGTTGCGGGAGTTAGAGGGGCGGGGGAAAGGTGGCGAAAAGGGATGAAGAGGGCGACTGAGAGGGGGTGGTTTGGGTTGTGGGCATGAAGCGCCGCGGGAGAGCGCCAGCTCCATCTATCTATCTATCCTATCTATCTATCTATCCTATCTATCTAGGATATTTATCTATTCACCTGCCTATCTTCCTAATCTGCACCCACCCCACCCCACCCCCATCCCCTCTCACCCATAGCTTCCGCCACTGCCTCGTACCTGTCGGGCGACCCGGGGAGTCGTGGCGGGGGAATAGGGGGGAATAAGGGTGTTTGTCAGCAGATGACAGCAGAGAGCCAGCACAACACACACATAAATGTGATATATATGCATATGTAAACACGCAGCTGTGTACATAGCTACATTATAGAGGTGTATATAGAGAGTTAGGTATTATAGCTATATGTGCGTTGTTACAGAGTGGGAGGCTTCTGGGCCAATTGAACACATTGTCATTTCTGCGATTTAGCACCATGGACAACACCATCCAGCTCTATATGTGTACATGTGACCCCGGCCTGGACCCCATTGGGTATTGATGTTACATACTTAAAGACAGACATACAGCGTCACACGTTGCAGACAGCATATGCAATCAGTGTCACATTCGGCCATCACGCCGTACACGCTTGTGTGTGAAGTGAGGTCATCACTCGAGAAGTCTTCCTCACCCACTACTACCACCGCCACCACCACTACCAAGCCATCTCCTAAAGGCAATTTCCACAACCTTCATCAGCGCCCCAGTAAGCAAGAACAAGTGAGTGGTGGGGAGGGGAGGGGAGTGAATAGAGAGGGGCAGGGAGGGAAGGGAGTGGGCGGCTGCTACCGACATGCGCAAAACGCGAAAAAAGAGACGAGGGCAGCAAAGGTGGTTGGGATCTGTTACAAACGGGTGGCTCTGATGCGACGCCAGCCGTTGTTCGTTGTTGCCGTTACTTACGTAACGTCATCGTGTGTGGGCCCTATGCCCCCGCTGGTGAACACGAAGCCACTCGGCCCCACGCGACCACGGAGGTCGAGCACAGCCTCCCGGATATCTGATCGCGAGTCGGGTATGTACGACACACGAATCAGATCCACACCACGACTGCGGTTCCGTGGGTGAGGAAATACAGAAGGGGGACGGGAAAAAAGGGGGCCCAAAGGGGGGAAGGGACATGAAGGGGGAAGGAGGGAGTACATGCGAATAACTCTACCGAAGCGAGCTTTGTAGTTCTTACGTAGTCGGACGCGTTGGGATTTTCCAGCGTGTCTGTATGTATCTCTGTATGCATGTCTCTCCATTCCCCCTCCCTTTTGGGATATACTATACCCCTAGGACGTCCTTTCAGTACCTACACTACAGGTAGCTACAGGTCATGTGCATTACGCATTTGATTATAAGGGCCTCAAGGATAATCTCACGAGACCAGACGACGACGACGACTACACCACAAAAATGTCCGTAACAGAATGGGGCTTTACTTCCGAAACCACGAGTCGGGCTCTAGAACTTTTGAGCTTCAGACGCCGGTAGTTCGTTCCTTGTTTCCTTGCATATGATTCACCCCATCCCTCCCTGGAGCCGGCCCTGGTCTCTCTCGCCTGTACAGCAGCTTTGCCAGCCATGGCGTGTTGGTGTCAACCACAGATCCAGATAAGATCTCGTCACCAATCACTAAGAGGGCGGCACGAGGGGCGTCCTGTGGTGCTGGGGTTGTGGCAGCGGAGGCCGATCGACGGCGGGGCAAGGGGTCGCCCCGTGCGCCAAGCTGATCTCGGCGGGAGTTGCGGAGATAAAGGTTGTGGGATTAGTTCAGGGCGGCGTCGCGTCATCCGAGAGTTGAGAGCTTTGCAGGAATGGATACGGGGGAGGGGAGAAAGGCCGGAGACGCTGGAAGGTGCTCTGCGCGTGAAAGTATCAGCGCAATAACATTATGGACAAGGTAGCTGCCGCCTTGGGACACTATGGAATCTATCCAGGGCGAATGACTGCGCCTTCCAGTACATGCGCTTGTCGGTTGATACAACGTACCAGCAACTGGCGATAGCTTAAGCGCCGAAAGAGTCCTGTAGCAAACATTCTTATCATACTAGCAAATCCCCGCACCAAAGAGTTGTATGCAAACGGAAAAACAGGTGTGTCAGGCTGCCGTACGGCCGGAGCAGTTTTCCAAAAAGTTCCCAAAATGGGCTCGCAATGCCATCATCGAATGGATATTGGACGATATTGATGTTCTATGGGGAAGTAGTATAGATATCCGAACGGAAACAGTGCCCTTCCCGCTCGCTGTACCTAGACAGGGTCTTCACAGCTTAGCGTCTTTAGCATGAACGCCGATCAGGCAGCACAGGCAGCACAGCTGCCGCGTCGAATTATCAAGGTGCGATGCCGATACGCTGTCTCTGTGAGGATCCATCTGCGGCGCTGGAACTCAGACTTTTGCCTTCCCTTTGACTATGACACCTCAGGAGACTCAAAAACTACTTAGCGAGCCAGGTTTGTTATAGTCTTGACGGGGGCCATCTGATCTCCGGGTCTGAGTTAGGTTTCTGAGCCTTCCCTGCCTGAACGCAGCACCGGGCATCAGCGCCTCGCCGTCAGAGGAAAACCTTCGCTACTTCAATGTGATGATACTAGGCCCTCAGCAGTCTCCCTACGAGGGCGGTGTCTTTAAGCTGGAGCTTTTCCTTCCCGAGGACTATCCCATGGCGCCCCCGAAAGTGCGCTTCCTGACCAAGATTTACCATCCCAAGTAGGCAATCTGTATGATGTGGTCCTGCCTGTCTGTCACGGGGGCTCATATTTCGCCATGTGTCTCTTCCCACAGCATTGACAAGCTTGGCCGCATTTGTCTGGACATTTTGAAAGACAAGTGGTCCCCGGCACTCCAGATTCGCACCGTGTTGCTCAGGTAAGCTATACTATCTGGGGTACCCGTGCTAAGGGGTGTTCTCCCACGTGAAAAGGACGAGCGGCGCCGAAACCCTGTACTGCAAGCATTTATTAACCGTCTGACGTTCTTATGTTGATATGCGGCAGCATTCAAGCTTTGTTGTCGGCACCGAACCCTGATGACCCGCTGGCTGACAACGTTGCAAAGCATTGGAAGGAGAACGAGAAGGAGGCCATTGCAACAGGTGGGTATGAGCGGTTGCATGGGGGGCCTGCTGTGAATGGTGCCTAATTGCCTTTTCCCCGACTTGGACATGTCTTGCAGCTCGCCAATGGACTTCGATGTACGCCCAGGGCTAAGGGCGTGAACGTAAACAGGGGCAGGCGGCAGGTGGCCCTTAGGAGGCAGACTGAGAGTGGGTTGATGAACCTTAAATGTTAGGCTTTGATGGGGATCCTGGTGGTGCTGCCGTCTGGTGCGGTTCCGTGGTTTGCCACCCGGAGCATTTTTTGGCATCTACGTTCTCTTGGGTATCCATTGTAGCGTTTTAGGGAGGTGAACTTGGTTTGCTTCTTGTGAGTCCTTAAAACTCACGAATTTAGGACGTTTAGTGGTGCCGGGGCAATGCAGGATGTGGCGTACATAGGATAGAGACTGGACGTGCGGCAAAAGCACCATGTTTACGGTGTGACATGGAATTATTGTTATGTTACGAAACTGAGACAGTTGGCTGCCGCTTGGAAGCGCGGCCCTACAGCGGCTGGACGCAACCGTGTAACAAGGGTACGGGATGTACGGGCGCTTCTCGAGCTTTTGCCGCGCTTACTACGAAAGCGGGATATGTTATTTTCTGTACATGTTTACTTAAGTCGACACACAGACAAGCCTTGAAGTGACTTCCAAAGGTTGAAACGTAAAGTTTGTACAGATCTGTATCAATACCTTTCGGACTGCTCCTTAGCTTGCCAGCTGAGCATATTCAATTAACCTTTCGCAAAAATGATGCCAATGATGGGAATGCAACCTCAAATCATCCTTCTAAAGGAGGGGACGGATACAAGCCAGGGCAAGCCACAGCTCATTAGCAATATCAACGCATGCATGGCCGTGGTCGATACCGTTCGGACAACCCTGGGGCCTCGTGGAATGGACAAGTTGATACACGGCGACAAGGTTTGCCGGGCGCATGCGGACTTTTGGGCGGCTATCTCGCTGGGACAGCGAATGGCGCCCAGGCGTCAAACTGAAAGTTTATCACAATATTTTATTTTATATAGGGCGTAACAATTTCAAACGATGGAGCGACGATTATGAAGCTACTCGACATTGTGCATCCAGCAGCGAAAAGCCTGGTGGACGTGTCTCTGGCCCAGGATGCAGAGGTGCGTGATTCGCATGCGCACAACGGGTTCATAATGATCTGGCGTGCACCCTTTGCACGTTTTCGCGCGCTTTCGGGCCGCGGGTGCTCTTACGCCACCTGGAAGCGCTGGTCATTACCTTGCGAACCCCTGCAGGTCGGGGATGGTACCACCAGCGTGGTGATCTTGGCAGGGGAGTTCTTAAAGGAGGCCAAGCCGTTCATTGAGGAGGGCGTGCATCCCCGTGTAAGTAAAGTATCCTGGCATGCGCTGTGTTATGTATAAGTGCATTCGTCTGGGGTTTTATGCTCACAGAGGAGACAGAGGCCAGGGCGACTCATGAAAACGTGGGAGGTAATGATGCATTAGTAACATCGGGTCTCATGAGGTGGCGTTCCCAAATCCCTGACGAGACAGACGGGGACGCCTCGGTGGCATATGGACACGGTTTGTGCTGCGCGCCCGCTACGGCGCCTGTGAACGGGACATGCTTATCCACGTGCTTCTGCCCTTATCACGGTCCGATCTATTATGGGCTGGTAAACCGAGGATTATGTCTAGAATGGAGTGCTAAAGCGGATAGGACGGAGTTGCACGCCTGCATTGCCGTTCTCCCTTGATGCTGATGCACCCTGGCGTCGGCGACCACATGCCTGCGTCACACTGAACCCCGTGGAAAGATGAATCACATCGGTGTGCTCAAGGCAATGGCGTCGCCAAAGTTTTAGGACATTGGGTTTTGCCATCATGCGGTTTAAATTGCACGGTATAACCACGGGGATTAGGGGGCCCTCTGACCCTGCTGGTTCGACGCTGGTTGCCCTTGGGCTTTAGGTGCACGGCTCCCACGCATAAGGCTTACAGGCATCCGTTCGCCTTCGTTATCTGTCGTACGTATTCCGCAGAGCCTCATCAAGAGCTTCCGCCAGGCCGCCGTCCTGGCCGTCCAGCGGTTGAAGGATCAGGCCATCAGCCTCGAGGAGAAGTCGATGGAGGAAAAGAAGGACCTGCTGAAGAAGTGCGCAATGACTACGCTGAACAGCAAGCTGGTGAGATGATGATGACCAGCTCCTCAGCTGGCGTGGCGGTCACTTGGTGCATGGTGTCATTTGTGTATGCTTGCTGCGCCAAACTTGGTGTGTGTGCGCGTGAACTACCTCATGACCAGTGGTGCGTGACCTAGTACCAAAACCACCTGTCCATGCAACCCACGTGCTCGAGGGCTCCTAAGGGATGGGGAGGGGGGAAGGGACGGCCGCGAGCGGGTGGACCTGCCCGCAGCTGTGGCGCGATGCGGGCTGACGGATGCACGTGAGGCGCTTGAAACCTGAGTGGAGCGACGACGGTGTAACGGGTTCTGATATTACACGGGTGTATTAAGGAGAAGCATGGGTCATGCATGGGCCAAGAGACGTCATTTCCTTGGATCTTCGCTATTGCCGCTCATATGCGTCAGTCCCGGACTATCCATGCACACGAGACGGGGCCAACCCCATGTTGTATCTCACTACCGCACACAACGCCGGGAACACGAGTTCTAAGGAAGCGGGTTGGGAAGCTTCGCCTAGGTTACCGTTGTGGACTCTTGCCTCCATGCGTCGGAGGCATCAGATGCCTCGAATTTATGTGGCCCTGCTGCTGCCCACCTAGCCGCGATGATACGCAGCCCGCCAGCGCATGCAAGGTCGAAAAAAACCGGAAACCGTGGGCTTGTTTCCTGGGCCATTACCACAAACAGTTACGCACTGCACGGCATCGGAGCCTGGAGCTGGGGTTCTCACTTACCTCGTACGCGCCTTGATCCGCAGTTTGGCCAGGCCAGGGACGGGCGCATACAGCTATCATGTGTGCTGCTTACTTTGCCCCGCCTAGACCGTCCACGCAAACTTCCCTGGGTGGTGAATGTGTCCAACCTGTTATTGCGCTCGGCGTTTGTGTTTTCACCAGGTGAGCGGCGAGAAGGAGTTTTTCGCGCAGATGGTGGTGGACGCGGTGTCCAAGCTGGACCCGTCAACGCTGGACCTTAAGATGATTGGCATTAAGAAGGTCCAGGGAGGTGGTCTGCGCGACTCTTTCCTGGTTGATGGCGTGGCGTTTAAGAAGACCTTCTCCTATGCGGGTGGGTTGATTGGCCGGGAGGGTGAGGGTGGTGGATGAAGGGGGCGGGTGGGGATTTCGGGGGGCGCTGGGTGTGCGCGGGTCTCTGAAATGCTGGGAGGTGCTGTCGGGAAGAGCCGCGCCTTGTTCCGCGTCGCATGGTGGAAGGGTAGGGTGAGGAATCAAGGCCATCAGCAAGGGCCGCAAGGGCCGCAGCGCCAGCGAGCGCATTGTTTGGGCAGGCGGTATTCTTTGGGCAGCATGCACGAGACACAGGCATTCCTGGATTTCGCTGCGTGTAGTGGCGTTAACAAACCTGGGGGACTACGGGCGATAAACTCCAATCGCTCTTGTGCTTCAAAAATATTGGCGTAATAGATATTACTTCATCATTTTCATAAACAAGGTTATTTCTTGCCATAAGGAGGTTCTATTACGTATTATTCTATTACGTATTAAAACAACAGCATTGACCCATGGGTCTCAGGTACTTTCCTTGACAAGGGAATTCTGCAGCCCGACGCCCTGTGTTCATCCAGACCGTTTATTGGTTTGGGCGCCCCACCAGTCTATGAAGCCCCACCTGTCCTCAAGCTGTGAAGGGACAGAACGGCTGAAGTGCACCTGGCAATCCAGCTTGTACTCCATCCTAACACTGCCCCCACGCCCCGTTATCCTTGCCGGGCGCAGGCTTCGAGCAACAGCCCAAGTCCTTCACAAACCCCAAAATCCTGGTGCTCAACATTGAGCTGGAGCTCAAGGCGGAGAAGGAAAACGCTGAGATCCGGCTGGATGACCCCGCCAAGTACCAGTCCATTGTGGATGCGGAGTGGAACATCATCTACGACAAGCTGGCCAAGTGTGTAGCCAGCGGTGCGAATATCGTGTTGTCGCGACTGGCCATCGGCGACCTAGCCACCCAGGTGGGGCAGGAGAGGGAAGGGAGGCGGGCTCTGGGAGGAAGGGTGTGCTTGCACTCCGAGAAGACAAGGCGCCGTAGTTGTTTCGAACAGTTAATAAAAGACGAGTTGGTCTGCGTGCGGGGTCGTGATTTGATCTTGCGGGAAGGAAGCCGGACTCTGGCCGAGGTGTCGACTGTCGAGTCTGTTTACCAGTCCCAGTCCTGTAGATACAGAAGGCTTGGACCTCACTGCAGCGCGGTCACAAAGCTGCGTCGCGTAAAGTAACACGTGAGAAAGCGGACCATCATCGCTCACCTTGCGCACCGCTTCCTGTGCTTTTTTCCATCGGAGAGTCAACTCGTTCAACTGCCGAACTGGCCATACCCTGCACGCACCGTCTGCGTCCTTGGGCTAAGCGATGGCAAGCAGCAGGACCCCGTTCTCACAGCTCCCTCTTTCGCTTTGTCCATGTTTGAAATCAGTACTTTGCCGACCGCAACATCTTCTGCGCCGGCCGCGTCGAGACGGGCGACATGGAGCGCGTCACCAAGGCGACTGGCGCCAAGGTGCAGACGACGGTTAACAATCTTGACCCCGCAGTGTTGGGCACATGCGCCCGCTTCGAGGAGCGCCAGGTAGGAACTTGCCCTGGGAATTTCTCCTTGTAGCAGCGAAACACACTGCCTATGATATCTGAAAACGATATCTATGTGTTTATCCCTATTGCTGACCGGTGCAGCTGGGTCGGCAGTCTGTGAACGAACCTTGGGTTTAGGATGATGACAATATCGAGTCATAATTTTCCGGTCTGTGCGTCTCGTCTGAGCCGGGGAACCACCTTCTGTTTCCGCAGGTGGGTGCTGAGCGCTACAACCTGTTCACTGGTTGCCCGGAGGCCCGCACCGCGACCCTGGTGCTGCGTGGCGGCTCGGAGCAGTTCATTGACGAGGCGGACCGCTCACTGCACGACGCCATCATGATTGTGCGCCGCGCACTCAAGCACGCGCAGGTGAGGGGAATCTAGGCGAGAGTGCTCACAATTTGCGTTCTGTAAAGGTTCAGGACGTCGCCCAGCTTGGAGCAATGTTTGTAGCAATGTGGAGATGCATGTGCATGATGTTACGATGTTGCGATCATGAGCCAAACGAGAGTTGTTACCAGGGAGGAAGTCCCCTTTCCCACCGATGGCGATCCCCCCCGAGATGGAAGGAAGATGCGCCCGATAGCGCTTGCACGTCACTCATGGTGGTGTGGAGTGGGATAAAGCCGCCCGAGGCCGGCGGTCATCCTGCTGGGTGACTGAGTAGTCGGAGGACGTGGCAGCTGTTGCGACCTCTTTGTCGTACATGCATGGACACACTGGAGGAGTTGTTGTTGTTATTATAGCTGGCTACCAAGTTTCTATGCCGACTGTGTATACATATGTGTAAATGACTGGAGGAGTTACCCTTAGTTGGGTGTGGGGCTCTGCCTTGCCGCCTCTGGCTGCATCCGCAGGTGGTCCCAGGCGGTGGCGCCATTGAGATGGAGCTCAGCAAGTACCTGAGCGAGTACAGCTTGCAGTTCACCAATAAGGCAAGCGTGCAGTCCACCTCGATAGTCGTATCAGTCGATAGTCATGTCCGTTTTCCTGATATCCGGTTATTGCGGCATGGATATCGGTCTGTCGCTTTCCGATGGAGCCAAGACCAGTACAAGTACACCTTAGCTCGAGAACGTTCGTTCGCAGAATCCTTCGAATTCAGCCGTGGTGTGTCTCAAGAGCGCAGGCTATTTAGACGGCGTGTATTCAGCGCTGCGGCGATGTAGCTGCATGATGGTTACGTTTGGTCTGGTTTTCGCATCCCTGGGCAGCGAACGTGATTGGGAGATTGGGCATCACTTAAAACTCGACTCCTTCAATTAGAGAACTTCTGTTTTTAGTGCTTGCATCTTTCCGCGCGTGCCTCTTTGCGCAATGGCAACATTAAGATGCCCCTGTTCCTGTTCCTGGCGCTTGATTTCGCACGAGCAGTCCCAGTTGTTCATCAAGGCTTACGCCAAGGCACTGGAGGTGATCCCGCGGCAGCTCTGCAACAACGCCGGCTTCGACGCCACGGATGTGCTCAACAAGCTGCGCCAAAAGCACGCTCTTGCAGACGGTTCTGGCAAGGTGAGGCCACGAAGGGCGGGCTACAGATCTGCCAGGTTAGATGTGGATCTGCACGCCGATGAAATCTCTTTGACCGGCGCCGTTAGCTCAGCTGCTGCTAGCTGCTAGCTGTTTTGCTTCCAACGGTCCGGAGTCAACCCTGGTCCTGTATCGACCGCAAAAGCACGTCATATTCACCATTGAGGGTGACCATCTACTAGTGAGGGAGCCTTGTACAGCGCTCTCATAGCCTTTGCTGTGGGAAAATGTTTGAGCTTCCAGGGCTTCATGGTCAACATGTCGCTACTAGCTCATCAAGTTGGCGGATAGGTTTCTCTCACGTCGCCTTGGGCGTTGGCTTCAGGGGTTGACCTTGCTTGCTGCAGAACTTTGGCGTGGACGTCAACACAGGCGGCGTGTGCGACACGTTTGAGGCGTTTGTGTGGGAGCCGGCGCTAGTTAAGATCAACGCAATTCAGGTGGGCGCTGTTGGACCGCGTAGAAGTCAGGATTCGCGACCCGTCCCTCGTATTGGCGTCTTGTGTTCCCGTGATACAGCGTGTGGCTGCGTAGGCGCGCTTGCTGATTTAAGAAGCGTCGAATTTTAGTCCGGCATCAGCAGGCTTTGCACATGTCAACTGCCCTGATGTACCACCATATGTACAACACATCAAGCTCTCAACGTGGAGTTTGGCACACCAACGGGTGATAGCCCTGGCTTGCCTGTCGATGTGTTACCGACCAACTCTCTTCGCCACACGCCCCCCTCCTCGCCATTTCGCCAGGCCGCTACGGAGGCTGCATGCCTGATCCTGTCGGTGGACGAGACGGTGCGCAACCCCAAGAGCGAGGTGCCCGACGCAGCGAGCGGTGCAGCAGCACAGGCCGCCATCACGGGCGCCGGCGGGCGGGGCCGGGGGAGGGGCGCCATGCGTGGGCGTGGCATGCGGAGATGAGGAGCGAGCTGGGGGCGGCGGGGCTTGTGGGTTGTGGGCAGGTCTGGTCGTGTTGGCAGGTGCTGCGGAGCTTTCCTTTTAGCCAAGGTGCCATTGCAAAAAGGAAGTGCATGAAGGCAGGGAAATGGGGAGGGATTGATTTGGGATGTGGCTTGGGGCGGGGGTTCGTACGGCAGATTGATGCGACAGCGCTATTGTCCTGCAGGTTGCGCTAGTCCGGGCTTGTCATGCGTGTGCCCCCGCCGACATCTTAGGATTGGACTCTCGGGTGGCTATAGGTCCTTGCTTGGCAGCTTCACGTTTATAAATATACATGAGCACGGTAGGCTGCAGTTACCTGCAGTACGGAGGTGACGTGGCGGAATGTATGCGCAAGCACGGGGTCACGGAACCCCGTAGCTAATCCTCGTGTCATGTTGGAATAGAAGCAACATTCAAACAAGTGTTTGGCCCGTGGTTGGCCCGGCTTTAACATGCTTTAATTTTTTCGGTTGGAGGCACGCTGCAGTTCGGTTTGAAATCTTGAGGTGATACCATCTTGAGGTGCTGTCGCGTCAGGAATTAAAGGTATGGGCCAGCCGCCATGCCAGTCTCAAATTACGAGTGAGCGCGTGCGCCAAGCATTTGGCCACGCATGTTTCGCCGCTGTAGGCGGTGGGGGCTCCCCTGAGCGGTCTTACAACAAGAGCAACAAGTACTGCAGTCGCATTCTTATAAGGATACCTGCAGTGTGATGTCAACTTTGTAGTGAACCACCAGCGAAGGATATCAGAAGCTTTGTTATACTTTGATCTTAACTTTTATGCGCATGGCCGAATCGGCTACCTTCCCCAATCCCGATGGCGTGCGAGCTTGAAGTTCGACGCCGGCACGACTAATGAGTTCCTAAACACGCGACTTGTCCGTGTATGCTTTCACGAACAAACTTGCAGCGATAAAAAATCTTATTTGGTAATATGGAAATATCGATGGCAGCACGGTGCTAGACATCGACATCAGAGTCAGGATCAGATTCGTCATCGAGGACCGTTTCCCCGCGTCAAGGAGCATGTAGGGGTAGAAAATCAAACCCGAGATTCCGCTTTGGCTTAATCTACCCCTAAATGGAAAAGCGGGAAGGGAAAACGATGTATTTGAAAAACGGGTTCGTAAATGCTTTGAACTATCCGGCGGAGCTGAGCGTACCGCTATCCGAAGACTGCCTAGGCACTCGCCTGCGGTAATCGGTATTGGCCTCCATCCGACTACTTTCAACCATGCTGGATACCATACCATAGCAATGTAGCCGGCCCTGCAGATGGAGGACAAGTACCCTCATGCAGTCAGAACCGGAGGTTTAATTTTTCATCTGGCCATTTGTCGCATCCCGAGGTGTCCCTCTTTATGTTGCCGCCAAAATTGGCCCTCAGATTGCCGACACACGGAAATGCAACCTCCGTAACGCCGTACGCCAACATCTAGCTGTATGAAAACAGTGGGTTTGCGTGGCATCGTATGCTGCCTTACCGGATAATAGATGTTTCACTTCTTTCATGATTGCCGTCTAACTTTACCATAACATTTTCATGGCACGTCGGTGACTTGGAGCATTCATGTAAATTTAGCTACGCAAATGAACTTGTCTTTGTTATAATTCATATTCAAATATGCCGACCTCTATGTCTGGGTACTCTCGGCAACTTTTGACACCACCCGTTCTCGCAATGTCTAGGACCAGGTTCCTTGGATTTGCGCTAGCGCTTGCACTGGCTTCATGTGAACAAGCGCACGTTACTGCCAAGGAATCTGGAGCAACAAAATCTGACCGGCAGGGGTATATGGTCACCCTGCAACATCGTATACAGCCGGGCTGGAGACGTCAGCTCATGCGCCATGGACCTTTACCGGTGTTTGGTTCAACTCGTGATCTTGGGTGAGCCAAGCATTATGCGCATGGTTATCCAAGCAGACCGTTGCACCGAGTAGCTGAGCTTGTCTACTCCCCCGTCCGCCTGGCTGGCGCAGGTACTTCTATGCCATATTAGAACTGGGGACGCCGGCGCGGTCCTACAGTGTCATCATTGACACGGGAAGCACCATTACGTACATTCCATGCAAGGGATGTGAGAAATGCGGCAAGCATCAGGTGCCCCCCTGGCTTTGCGCTATGTCCATGTCGCACACCGTACCCGAGCTGCAGACGCCAGACCTTCGTTCCTTCTTCCTTTCTCCCTCCTTACTCCTTTATAGTCCTCACAACCCCGTTCGTGGACTTGAGAGGGATAGGAGCCGCGGTTGTACAGGCCCTTTCCTGCCGCATAACTGCTTCTCACACTCGCTCGCACAGTCCGGGCAACCAGTCCGCGCTGGAGGCATTCCCCCATTATTTTAACATTCATACATACATTCATTCATACATTCATGCGTGCACCACACTCGTCACAAGCACACCTAATTCTATTGTGTTCTGGGTAATTGCGCATATGAACACGTGCCGCGCACCTGCCCCCCCTCCTCCCGTGATCCGCTCTCCACCCCACATCCCAAACCCTGCCTCGCCTGCCTGCTGTGTGCTGCATATCAACACTCCTGCGCCCGTCCGCCAACAACCGCAACACGGCAACAACCATTCGCACAAAACAACAACAACAAAAACAACAAAAACAAAAACAACAAAAACACCAGTCGGAGAGGTTCGACCCCGACTCATCCTCCACTGCTCGCCGGCTTCTCTGCGGCGACCCGCTATGCAACTGCGGCAGCCCCAGCTGCCTGTGTGTGGCCAACAACCAGTGCTACTACAAGCGGGCATACGGTGCGCGATGGATAGGATAGGCTTTGGGGTGTGTGGATCCGAGCCAGTGCAACTAGGGTATGAATTGCCCTGGCGGGAGGGCCTCGGGTGGCTAGGCAGGTCGGATGGCTTTACAGGGGGCCGGTGGGGGCGGGCCCTGGGGGGCGCCGCGGCAGCTTGGACCGCGCGGTCGGACCACCGGGTGGCACGGCGGCTACATGACATCCGATATTGGGATATGCCTGCACCCACCATGGGTCACGAACCATTTCGGAGCACGATGGAGCGGGGGGGGGCGTGTGGGCGCGTTTTAAGAAGTCAAACGCAGCGAACTGGAGATGGGGGCAGGGGGAGAGGATGGAAGGAGGGAGGGAGCCCGGAACTCTTGTTCCAGTCCGCTGTGTTTGAATGTACGCATGTATGTATGTATATATGTGTATGTGTGTGTATGTATGGTATGTGTATGTCATGCGTTTGCTTGTACCATCTTCTTATTCCGCACCATGCGAGCTGCTATCTAGAAAACGTTATGATGCGGCCGCGGGCTCCTACCGTACACAGTGCTGTCGCTTCTGTGATGCCACGTGTTCCGTAAGCGTGGATGCAATCGGCATTATGTTGCGGCCGGGGCGTGGCTGGGTGGGTGTGCAGGACGACCATTAGAGGCGTCGGGTCGGGCGTCCTTGTATCCATCTCCCCCCCAACGCACACATACCTACACATCTGGCTTAAAGCTTGTCTGCCTGTCTGTCTATCTGTTCACTTCTCTGCCCATCCCCTTTTTCGTGAAACGCGACATAATGCTAACCCCTTTCTGTCAACCTGTCTGTACGTATGTACGATTTACGTACGTATGTATGTATGCACGTAACAATCCCCAGCGGAGGGCAGTGTGAGTGAGGGCTACATGATCACCGACGTCCTCAAGTTCCCTGACGACCAGCCGCCCGTGAACCTGGTGTTCGGCTGCGTCAACGGGGAGCGGGGGGAGCTGTACCGCCAGATGGCGGATGGGCTCATGGGCATGGGCAACAACCACAATGCCTTCCAGAGCCAGGTGGGTGGGTGCCAGAGCTGGGTGGGTGGGAGTGAGTTATAGATATGCTGACGGAGAGGGTTTGGAATATGATGGAGGATGGAGGATTGGGAAGGGTCGGGATGGGGCCGCGGGGTTACATGCGTGTGTGCTGAGGGCGGTGTATTCCCTGCGCGGTGCACCAGGCGCTCGCCCAGGTGCACAGGTGCACACAGCTGACTCCTTCCATGGATCCTAATGGGTTGGCAAACATCTCCTTATCGCCTTGTCGTGTTACGCCGCACCCTACCCTACCGTTCCGTGATTCGCAGCTCGTGGCGAATGGCATCATTGACGACGTCTTCTCCTTGTGTTTTGGCTTCCCGAGGAATGGAGTGCTGTTGCTGGGTGAGAGGAGTGGGGGCTCACATCTACTGGGGTGGGGCCGGGGCTGGGGCGAGGCCAAAGCGGAGTGGGTTCCGAAGCTGTGTACGATGTATGTATGTATATATGTATGTATGTGCTGTCCTAAAATGCGGCTCCCAATATGTGTGTGTTACATGGTCGTGGGGTGCGTTCCCCGTACCTGCAAACCGTTCAATACTAGCCGAGGGCTCAAGGGCTCCAATATAACATGCTCACCACTCGGCGGCGGCATCGGTGCCCCCTCCTGGAGCTCCACTTTGGGTCGTTTTTGCCATCTTTTGGTGCCATCTTTTGGTGGTGCGATGTCTTGAGATTCCGGGTTATTTTATTCCTTCTTACTTCCTTAACAACCACCAGTTGTCGTTCTATTCACTTCCTCCTCTGTCCCTCCTGCCTCCTGCCCTCCCTTGCCTGTCTATCTTGTTCCGGGTAGGTGATGTCCCGCTTCCCGAGGCCCTCCTCGCCTCCACCGCCACCAGCACGGTGTATACCCCCCTGATCAGCAGCATGCACCTCCATTTCTACAACGTGCGGATAGAGGGCATTGAGGTGAAGGGAGAGCGGCTGCCCCTGGATCCGGTGAGGTGCCTGGGTGTGTGTGTTGAAGGGGGGGGGAAGGGGGAGGAAGACAGGGAATGGGGGAAGAAATGTCACATCATGCACACGTCCATGATATTTATCGCAGCCCGAGGGTGAAGTACCTCCGCACGGAGACATGCATTACTAAGAAGACGGGGGGCAAGGTCGAGGTCGGGGGAGGGAGGTGTGACATGGAAACGAGGGGGAAGGTTGGTAGCCTCCTTGGCGAGAGGCACGTTGCCGCCTTTTGTACGGCATGATCGCAACAAAGTCGATGCACAGCTAACGAACGTGGAGCATGCCCGGCAGCGGCATCCGCTTTCATGTAGGCGTATAGGCTGCGTATACGGCACTAACGACCTTCAACGAATGAGGATTCCCCTCAGGCTGCTCGTCCCTCAATCCATGTGCTATGTCCGAACCACCTTCCAACAACTTCTTAACAACCTCCAACGACATCCCCATGTCCTGGTGTTGTGGCGGGGCTGGGTGCTGGGGGCCTCAGGTGATGTTTGACCGCGGCTACGGCACTGTGTTGGACAGCGGCACCACCTTCACCTACTTGCCCTCCCTGGCGTTCGAGGCCATGAGCAGGGCGGTGGGGCAGTACGCGGAGGAGCGGGGACTGCAGCGAACACCGGGGGCTGACCCGCAGGTGGGCGGGGGGGGGGAGGGAAGGAAAGGGAGAGGACGGGGAGGGGTGGTGTCACTGCTTGCATGACCCACGCGTCTAATTTGCCAGGACGAAAAAGCCGCGCGTGGGATATAAAAGTAGAGTGCTTAATGCTTACGCGGCTCATTTCGTGCGTTGTGCTTCGGCCATTGTTGTACCTGAATATGGCCACATTGCCATCTTTTTCATCACCCCTTCCCCTTCCCGGCCCGGCCCCTGCCGCACCCCTTCCCCGGGGTTTCCCTTGCACTGCACTGCACTGCACTGCACTGCTCAGTACAACGACATTTGTTGGAAGGGCGCATCGGACAACGTCGATGCGCTGTTGGAGTTCTTCCCGTACGCGGAGTTCGTACTGGGCGGTGATGTGCGTCTGAAGCTGCCGCCCGTGCGCTACCTCTTCCTGTCCCGCCCTGGCGAGTACTGCCTGAGCGTCTTTGACAACGGCGGCTCCGGAACCCTCATCGGCACGGGCTCTGTGCAGAACGTGCTCGTTACCGTAAGTACGGCATGGCGACTCTTCGGGATTGGAGATGGATCCCAACCGATACTTTTCCCCGCTATTGCCCCGGGGGATCTGGTTGTGATGTTCGGGGGAGGGGTGTAATGTCGTAATGTCCGGTGGTGGCTAGGGGTTGTTGGAGTGGCGACGGGGAGGCTCGTGAAGCGACGCTATGGGCCGCTTTGCCGAGCTACGGATGCTTTTTTTTGGAACTTTCTACGTGTGCTTCTCTACGCCTCATGCTGGGCTCAACCCGTTGTGTCAGTTTCAAATCCTCTCTCCCTCTCCCTCTCAGCTCTATCTGATTCGTGGTTGTGTCCGAGTCGCCAGTTTCCACGGCCCCCATATATTATATATATACATACATATATACACACACACCCAACCTGATTGGTCCCGGGCCCAATCATACACACACGCTGCTGCATCTGATGACTTTCCCGGGTCGGCCCTTGGGCCTCCCCCTCATCATTGGGCCGCCCTGTGGGCTGTCAGGTTACACCTTTGGAGGGTAACGTGCAACTCCAATTAAAGGTGGTGTGATACACATACTGATACACACACGCTGCTGCATCTGATGACTTTCCCGGGTCGGCCCTTGGGCCTCCCCCTCATCCCGGCCGCCCTGTGGGCCGTCAGGTTACACCTTTGGAGGAGGATAACGTGCAACTCCAATTAAAGGTGGTGTGATACACATACTGATACACACACGCTGCTGCATCTGATGACTTTCCCGGGTCGGCCCTTGGGCCTCCCCCTCATCCCGGCCGCCCTGTGGGCCGTCAGGTTACACCTTTGGAGGGTAACGTGCAACTCCAATTAAAGGTGGTGTGATACACATACTGATACACACACGCTGCTGCATCTGATGACTTTCCCGGGTCGGCCCTTGGGCCTCCCCCTCATCCCGGCCGCCCTGTGGGCCGTCAGGTTACACCTTTGGGGAGGATAACGTGCAACTCCAATTAAAGGTGGTGTGATACACATACTGATACACACACGCTGCTGCATCTGATGACTTTCCCGGGTCGGCCCTTGGGCCTCCCCCTCATCCCGGCCGCCCTGTGGGCCGTCAGGTTACACCTTTGGAGGATAACGTGCAACTCCAATTAAAGGTGGTGTGATACACATACTGATACACACATGTTGGTAAGGTAATGATGCTAATGAGCTGATATTGCTCTCTCAACGCGCAGTACGACCGACGCAACAGCCGAGTTGGCTTTACCGACATCGACTGCGAGGAGCTGGCGTCGGCGCTCGTGGCGACGGCTAATGCCACCGCAGCATCATCACCTTCCCCACCGCCGCCCTTCCCGGCGCCGCCGTCGCCACCGCCGCCGCCGCCGTCCCCGTCTCCCCCCCCAAGGGCCTCGCGGGGGTCCCGAAGCTCGCGCGGCTCTCCCTCTCCAGCCGCCAGCCGCCCGCACCCCCACATGATGCTGCACCACAAGCACCATCACCCCAGCGGTGGCGGCTCGCAGCTCAGAAAGGAGGTGGCGCAGCGGTCGCATTGGCTGCGGTTGCGGTGACGCAAGCTACATCTTTTTACGCAGGAAAAAAAGAAACGAGCCAGGATTCCCCTAGTAACGGCGACCGGGAACCAGGAATAGCGCAACGAGGAATATTGTAGTCTATAGAGGCGCCCTCGTGGGCTGCCGGAACTCGGATCGAAGTCGGATCGAATGCCGCGTAGTCAAAGCGTGTGGTAACCCCGTCGGTTCCTGCTTAGTCCCCTGGACTCTCCTACTACCGAGGTGCCTTCCACGAGGTGGGTCCGGTACAGGTGCAGGTACAGGTACAGGTACAGGCCGGGTGGGGGAGGGTGCAGTGCAACGTAATGGAATGGAATGGAAGAGCGTTATTGCTGTCGGGGTCGTCGTCGTCGGCGGCGGCGTCCACCAGAGCACAGCGAGTAAATATGTTGGCTGTATGGAGCAGCGGAAGAAGCGCCGGAAGTGGAGAGGAATCCTTTTCACGCATGCGTCTTGGCCTGTTGTCGTTGTTGTTTGTGCCGCCGCCGCCGCCTCCTACCTTGCCGTGGATTCGCGGAATCGTGTGATGTGTATTTACACGATCACTGGCGTACAAAGCCAAGGTCTTGGATGGGTTGATGAGCGGGTGGTTTGGGCAGGCGCGCGAATGTGCTGCTGTTAACGGTACTGTTTTTTGTGTTGCTCATCACCCAGAAGTTGGTTGCTGCGCGACGGTACACCGGCGGTCCGGTCCGGCATCACAATGTCCGCAAGCGGTTTCGAACTGGCGATCTCGGTGCGGAGTTTAACATTGCGCCTCTGCCTGAGTCTTCCGGAAAGTTAGTGTAGGAGCGAAGCCTTAGTGGTAAATATAGGAGGAATTTACGGGCGCTATGTGCTTGATGAGATGGTGGTGGTGATGGGGGGCCATGGTCGTGATGACAGTGCTACGTGACCTGTTGGCCGGGATTGCGTTGACCTATCATTGGCACATCACTACGTGCGGCGCGCGTTTACCATTCATTCCTCCGTTCGCTCGCACGTCTTGCGGCACTTCCCACATCGAGCCTTCATGTGTGCGCGGTTGGATTATGTGGCTGCACGATCGCATTGCCCTTGCATCACGCGCGTTCTCGTCACGCTTGTTCTTTTGCTGCTGGTTTTTTTGTTGCTGTTGTTGCTATTTGCAATGTTGCTGAGTTGATGACGTTAGTGGAGTAGCAGTGACCGTGTGTTTACACGATCGCGCGACCAAGCACACGGAAGCGGTTCCGTCGGGACATTTTCACCTCTGGAATTTTCCGGAGGCTAACATCCAGGACCATGTCTGCGCATAATTGAGTGTGTCATTGGTTGGTGATGACGTTCAACATTATCAGCATCGCATCCTACCATATGCCATCTCACCATGACTACTTAACTACACCATGACCACAGCGTGCGACACATTCTTGTGTGAGTTTAGATTACGATTCATGCTTTGCCGCGCTCGTGGGGGAGAGCCCGCGTTCCGTGGTGAGATGAGCAGACGCAGGTGGGTCCAATGCAGGTCGTCCTGTTGGCAACGTTTGTAGGATTAGATATGGAAGACATCATGCGGTTATCGGACAGCGAGAGAGAGATGAATTGCATGTCGCGTATTTTTGCGTTTTCTGGTTGTGTTGCAGATGGAGCGGCTTTTATGACTTTGGTTGAGGCTGAGTGCTTGTGGTTGCGGTTGAAGTTGGAGTCTAGGCTGCTGGAAGGTGTGTTGTTGCGGGTTGCTTTGGAAGTGTTTTTAGGGCTTCAGCTATTTTAGCTGTCAGCTGTTTTGCAGACGTGAAGTTGTATTCAGTTCTTCCTGTGACATGCGTTCGTCAAGCACCTCGTTATCATCATGCAGACCCATCGAACATATACGGATGTGCACAGATAGATGGTTGCATAATAACGGATGTACTGAACTTTCCTGTCCCTAACCGTCGCATGGGTCCGACCCAGGATTGGTAACCCCAACGCCAACGTAACGGAAGTTCGGATGATGAATCAGCGATCAAGGGAGTGCGCGACGCGGGAACCTGTAATCCTGCGCGGGGCGGAACGGCGATGAACTGGAAGCGTGATTCTGCTTTCCTTCTGAACGGCGCTGATCTGGTGTGTTAAGCAACAGCTTTGGGCAATCCATAAGTTCATAACGTTGGGCAGCCAGGAGACATTCCCCCCGGCAATGGGAGTGCAGGTTGGCGGGGCTTATAGTTGGCGAAGCATGGAACACAAATGGTATGGGATGACCATAACTGAAATTCTCTACGTGATTGCCATTTCTTTGGAAACTATGCAGGTTATTTTTGGTTACGGTATTTCCCGGTTTCGCTCCAGTTAGGTACTGTGGTTACTTCGTGGTTACTTCGTTATGCATCCAGAGACCGTTGGGAACCAGTTGGACGGGACGGGAGCACAGGGAGCTAGTTGAGCCCTGCGGACAGCGATAGGATACCAAAGTCAGGCTGATGATGTCGGCAGAAGCAATCTGGTTACGGTGTCCAAAAGCCCGCAAGTCAGTTCAGGAATACCAGGCTTATTGAGCCAAAGCTGATTAGGTTTTGGTTGTCACTGCATAATATTATCATAATTTGCAAAACCTGCAAACTGGAAACGTCACTGCAGTTCAGCTCCGGAGCCAGTGGTTCGCAACGGCTCTCTATGCAATCGGGAACTTAGGATATTGGCAGTAATACTAGCTTTGCGTGTCTGTTATGAAGGTAGCTGTGTATTTGTCTCTTCGGATCATTAACAGCTGACGCAAAGTTAAGTGGCGCGAAAATGGCCAACGCGTTTGAAGGGGCCGGCAAGGAGGTTGGCTTACGCGTATGGCGTGTGAAAAGCTTTTCTCTGCTGGAGGAGCCGAAGCAAAATTATGGCCACTTCTACAGCGGTAGGTCACCGATCGGAACATTTGAAGCATGACTTGCAAAGCTTAACCACGACCAATCAATGCGAGCATCGCAAGAGATTTAAAGTCCAATAAGGTTGCCAGTCTGAACTACTACTTGCTTGGTGACCTTCCGATTGACCTTTTATCGGCATCCCATGGGCGCAGGCGACTGTTACCTGGTGTTGGACACGTTCATGGCCGATGGACGCATCCGGCATCATATCCATTTCTGGCTGGGCAAGGATACGAGTGCGGTGGGTTACGGATGTGTCACATTCTTTTGCTTCATGACTTTGACGTTGAAACCGTGTCCATAACTTTGCACGTAACGTTGTATCAGTGCGACACAATTACAAACACAATCCTAACCCCAATACGCCGTTCCTACCATACCTTAAAGCATTACTTGATCGAAAATATCAACACATAATTGAAAAAAAGCTCCGCTTCCATATATCTGCAAAACCTCAAAACCGGAAGCATAGCCCGTGGAAGTCCCAAGGGGGTCCCCATGCCTTGGGTGCAGATAGCAGCGTATCATTATCGCACATAGAAGGGGTTACAGAAAATGACGCTAAGGAGTCGCATACTTCCTTGGCCCGAGCCCACCCATCCTAGTAACCTAACGAAACAAAAGCACTTCCCTGTAGAGCCCCGAGGTCGTTCGGTTAGGGACTTGGCAACACCCGCGTCCTGTCCGACCGCAGGACGAGGCAGGTAGTGTGGCCATATTCGCAGCGCAGCTGGACGAGTCGCTGGGGGGCGGACCCATACAGTTCCGCCAGCCGCAGGTAACACAACGCCCCTCAGGGATGCCTGCTCTGCGTGCGTGCTGCTGTGTGTACAGGTGCAGCAGTGGGAAAACACTAGAGTTGTGGCACTGGGGTGTATGCTGTATGGAGATTTAAAAGAACCCGGCCCTGAAGGCCAACCCCGGGGGGAGCCCATTACGGCGGTGGAGCGCATTCACAGCGCTCAGCCCCCAGCCGAAATGAGACCCCAGCCAATTGAAGAGGGTGCGAGGGCGCGGCCGCAACCCCTGTACCGGATGTGCGGATGGATATCAGGGCCTCAGTTCACGCACAGTCACGAGCTCGGCTGGCAGCGGCCTCTACATCCCCGCAACCGGCCTGCAGTCATGCGCTTCACCTGGCTTCGCCTTTCCACTCCGTCTCTGCGAACTGATTCTGATTATGTCGAGGGATGGAAAGACATCCAGCTTTATCCATCCATGTGCACCTACACCGCGCCGTCTCCCGGGGAGATGTATCTCCTGTTGTATTGCCATGTGCTGTCGTGCTGTACGTTCGTACGGTCCAGTTACCTGTGCTGTGTCTTGACGCCCTCGACTTGTTTCCTGGCCTCCATGCACTCGCCATCATCATGGCCACTGCCTCTCAGGGCTCGGAGTCCACCGAGTTTCTGCGGCTCTTCCCCCGTCTCAAGTACATGGCTGGGGGCTACGCCAGCGGCTTCCGGGACGCAGCCAAGGGCCCTAGGGGGGCCCCTGGACCCGTGCGGCTGTACCAGATCAAATCGGCCAGCAAGACATGTGTGCAGGTAGGGAGCGAGGCGGCCGGAGAAGTTCGCTGCGTCTTCATCCTCCTCCTCGTTTTGCCATGTCACTGTCCTGTAGGTCCAAAACGTAAAACGTCCGCAAGTAGCACACACCACGCCAGGCCGTTACTGCTGCTTCCCACACGCAAGAACTCTCATCTACTGCTACATCCCCGCCTCCTCTTCACCGCAATACCGCATCACCCTCTGCCGTACCCTTACATACATAACTCACGGGGATGCCTTTTCATGATGGCAGGTATTCGAGGTGCCTTGCTGTCTGGCGTCCCTGAACCACGGCGACTGCTTCCTCCTCGAGGACGTGGGCGCACGGCTGCTGTGGGTGTGGCACGGCAGTGCGGCCAACATTCGGGAGAAGACCCGGGCCATTGAGGCGGGCAACGCGTTCAAGGAGGGCACCGGGATAAGGGTGGGTGGTAGCACCGGGATCAGGAGCCTTCTGGTGGAGTGATGGTGATGGTGGTGGGGCTGGGGGCTTGTTGCACGTCGGTTTCGTCGGTTAGCCGCAGTGAGGGCTTCAAGGCCGAGAGCCACCACCGCCATGATCGCCATCACCCACAGCCACGATGGCCGTCGTGGCCACACCTAGCTTTGCAGACCGATGTCGGCAGTTGACCCCGTGGATGTGCTGCTGCTTGCATCGTGTGATTGCCTCCTTTTTTTCTCTGCACTGAAGTCATCTCACTGGTTTGCCCCATCGTTGCCGTTACTGCCCAAACTCGGTATGATGATGATGAGGAGGAGGAGGAGGAGGATGCAGGAGAAGAAGATCCACTTAAGTTAGAACTTCCCTCCAACCTTCAACCTTCATCCTCGCTGAGGAAGTGACCTGTCAGTGCCTATCAGCCTATCATTTTACCTGCCTCTTACCGAATACTGCCCCACCCGAAACGCCCCTTCCTTACCAGACCCTCTTCCTTTCCATCTTGCCCCCGCCCTCCTCCACCTTCCCCCAATTTCGACAACCCGGTTGGCAGTTATCAGTGTTGGATGACGGTGACGATGTAAGTAATGAGGCGGTGGCGTTTTTCAGCCGCCTGGGTTGCCCGCAGCCACCGAAGCCCGGGGAGATCCGGGAGCCCGAGGGGGACAAGGTGCGACCGGCCGCCATGCAGCCGCCGCAGCTGTTTAAGGTGCGCTCTGCCCGGGCTGCATGCATGCATACATCCATCCATCCGGCAGCCTCGGGTGACCTCCGAGGCTCATCTGCGCTTAGTACTGTGATGGGACTATGTGTGTGTGGGGGGGGAAGGGTCTAGACTTGATGAGAGGAGACGGGGTTTTTGTACCTCCACTGGGGCAGACACGTGTGCGACGTCCGTTATGCAGCTTGTGAGCGGCGCACTTTACACTGGGGATGTGTGCAAGTGTCGCTATGGGAGTGAGAGAGAGTGTGTATGATGTTGTTACAGGGTGGTATAGCTTCACCAGCAGCCCCTTTCCCGAGGCAGTTCCCTGCTCTCCCCTGCGAGAGGGGCATCCATTCACCCCATCCGACTTCAGAATGCATTCGTTGGGTTCAGCAACTCACAAATCAAACCAAATGTAGCGGATCAACGGCGCCACAACTTGGCTAGTTGGTCAGCTCGCAAATCGCTATAATCACGTCCTACACCATCCACAAGATGGGGAGCCACCTCCCCATTCAACACCTCAAATACCGAGGGGTCGGCAGGTGAACCTCCGGGAGCCAATGTCAGGCCTTATCTTCAACCAGGTACCTGCCCAAAAATATCAACTTCCGACCCTTTTCAGGATGAACCCGTGTATTTTGGAGCTTACCGGGATCGATTCGGTGACCTCACGCATGCGAAGCGCGCGCTCTACCACTGAGCTAAAGCCCCCCCTTGCATGTGTGCATGCATATATTTTTGTTTCTTTATTTTTATGGGGTTGGATGCCACGGGGTTGACGAGGGTGCAGGGTAGTGACAGGGTACGCGGCGGAGGGGCTACTGTGGGGCGCTCCTCATACTGCCGTACCAGTACGCAACCCGTACAGTTTTAGTTATCCCCATCAATCTCCCATCCCAGTGCTGAAGACTTACCAAAGGAGTTGTCCCGGGTACTATCTCTAGCCTCTAGGTCATTTCGCCCGATCCAGACGCACAGGCTATCATTCCGGTACCAATAGTGGCTGCCAATCCGCTGACCGCCTCTCCCTACTCGTACTATCTCCCTTTACACCCCCGACATCTCTCATACACACCCGGCCTTCCTGTACCACGTTTATATGATGTTGCTTTTATCATGGGCGAGTTCTTTCCCGATTCGTCGGCCCATCCCAAATTCGCTACCCCATTTTGCTGGCTGGCCACATCTGCCTTGCCACATGGCCTTGTGTGTAATCATGGCACGCCAGGTGGTGAATGGTGGCAACGGCTTCCTGCACCTCTGTACGAAGGAAGGAGCGCCCCTGAGTGCCTCGCTGCTGGACCCCAGAGGGCAGTTTGTGCTACTGGCTGCGGGCTGCATCTGGGTGTGGACGGGCGCGGAATGCGGGGCCGACGGCAAGGAGAAGCCCATTCCGCCGTTGCAGGTGCGGACGGGAAGGCAGACGGGTCGAGGTCGCGGATGGGGCTCGGTTCGGGACTAGGACTAGGAAGGACAGGGGTCATAGGAGTTTGGCGTCCATGTGGGTGGGGTGCGGGGTTGGGGGGAAAGAGTGGCGGCGGATTGCCAAGCAGATAGGGCACGTAGCATGAGGCCCAACGCCCCACCCTCCCACCCGGCCTTCCAACCGCATTATTGCAAATACAGGCGGCATCTCATATACAACATAAGTACATGTTGTGTAATGTATAATATACAACATATATGTGTGTCAGTATATTGCATTTTATGTATGTATGAATGTATGTATGTATGCAAATATACCTGTGTGCCCTATCCACGGGATCTCCACTTGCTGGATGCTGCAGTCTCCCTACCGAACAGTTTTATTTGTTTCTCCTCCCCGGTGGTGCGGAAAACCCCTAAAGTTGTCCCGTCCCCTCATCTCCTCTTGTTTCACCTATCCCTGCCTTCATAACCCTGTGTTCCGCTTTCCTACATACCTTCCCTGCCCGGCCTGCTTCCCCTCCTGGTCTCCGTTCTCCCCGTCACCTAGGCCCCCGTTCCCTCCCCCTCCCACTTGGCTGCCCAGACAGCACTACCATCATACCTTCGATATGACCACTATAGGTCTCCTCAACCCCCTCCATCTCCATCGCCCCAGGTCGGCAGCTCATTCGCTGCCAGTCAAGGCCTACCCGCCGTCATAAAGGCCGTCAAGGCGCGATTCGAGCCGGGACTGTTCACCACCTACTTCTCGGACTGGGGCGCGGACGGCCGCACGACGGGCACTCCGGGCAAGGACTCATTCGGAAATGTCATTCCGGGACCTGGCAAGGGAACCGGTGAGACGTGAGAGAGGGGGCCTGATGGGGCGGGGTGGGGATGGGGGGGAGGAGGTGCGGGTGCAGACGGGCCGTATCTCCTCAGGCGCCAGCCAAGTCCCAAGGCCAAGTCCAAGTGCGGTGCGGGTTCTCTTTAGCCTCTAGCTGGGCCGCGGCCCTTCTGCCATGATGTGCTCTCGTTCATATGTAAGACGTGCTCATGCTCGTGCACCCCTGGTGGTGGCGGCGGTGATGGTGGTGGCCGCAGATGACCAGCCGTACAACGCGGAGGAGGCGGCGGCGGCGATGGTGGCGATGGTGGCGGCCGCCGACGCAGCCGCGACGCCGGTTAGCGACCAGGCCGCTGCGTTGGAGGCGGCCTACGGCAGCTTCACGTCCAGCAAAATCCAGGTGAGGTGTGTTGTGCCGTGTGTAATACGGAATCAGACGGGAGTGTGTGTGTATATGTGTGTGTATGCGTGTATGTGTATGTGTGTCTAATAAGAGGGTCCGCGTTTGTAATTGTAAGCTCATTGTATTGCATGCATTGCTACATGCCCCGCCCTCCTGCGTCTCATCGGCTGAAAAAGGGCGGGCTGCGTTGTGTCGATTGTCACCGCACACATGTCCTCCCGCGGAATCCTCGCGGGGGTCCCTTATCTGGCTGTATCAGTATCAGTACCGATATCGATACCAACCTTGGCAAGGCCGCCGCTGCAGATGAAGATGAAGATTTCCAGATTTGAAGAAAAGCGTTTCTGTATCTTAAAACCCTAAGCTTTAGTCCAATGCTTGAGCTCTTCAAGTGTGAGAGTGAGTTTTAGCGGAACTGCCGTGTTGGGGATTGGTGCCGGCTGGAAATTGCTAAACAATTCCGTTGTCCTCTGTTTGCCCGCCCGTCCCCTTGTTGGCCGTCGACGGCTCTGATGCCGCTGTGCAGGTGTGGGCCATGATCGCGGCCTCCTCCCTTGAGCTGCCCAGGCAGGAGATGGGCCAGTTTTACGATGGCGCGTCGTATGTTGTACTGCATTCGTACTCGACCAGCCGTGGTGAGCACCTAGCCATTTACGTACTTCCTGCTGCTGCTGCAGGGGGGAGCTGTCTTTATCGTGGTACCCATGTCGACGGGTCTCATCTGCGGGGTATTGCCCTGTATGGCCCGTATGTCCCTCATTGTGGTTATGGTTCCTGATCTGTGTGTGTGTGTGTGTGTGTGTGTGTTTTACACCTTGAGTTGCGTTACTTACGGGCTCTATGTTTCCTCGTCAGTATGGCCATGGGAAATATGTCGATGTTTTCCTTCCTCTCTCTCTCCCTTTCTCTCCCTCCCCTTCTCTGCCCTTTGTGTCCCACTTTTGCCCATCCGGGATATCCTTCGAACTTGAAGGACCCTGGGGGGGTCATCCTCTCCGTCTCCGTCTGCCTCGATCGGTCTACCCCTTCCTCGCCCCCTTTCTGTGTGGGTTCCCCCACAATGCATCCATCTCCGTACGCACCCTGCCCGCGAACCTGGCAATGCCGAACTAATTGAGATGATTCCGATGGGGCCCCTACTACTCGCCGAGCTCGGCCCCCTCCCGCACCGAAGGCTGAAGGACGTGTGTATGATTCCCGCCTCGTGCTGCCGCCCCGCGACACACCCATGGCGCCTCTTTCCCCAACCCCTGCCCGCCCACCTCCCTTCCGAGCCGCCCGTCCACCTCCCTGACCCCTCCTCTCGTTCCTCCCTCGGCTTGCGCCTTTGTCCGTCTGCGTCCGTGCCCCGTGCCTGCTGTTGTTGCCGGCGGGGCCCTCCCCTCAGACCCCTCCGATCTGCGGTACGCGGTGTACGTGTGGCAGGGCCGCCACTGCGGCAACCTGGAGCAGGGCGCCGCGGCCTTGATGGCAGCTGACTTGCACAAGAGCCGGTACAGCGGCCGGTGCACACTGGTGCGGGTGGAGCAGGGACTGGAGCCAGGCCACTTTGTGCGCCTGTTCAAGTAAGGGACTTGTAGGGGCGGGGTTGTGTGTGTGGGGGGGGTATGGGGATGGGATGGATTTGGCGTTGTTGGGGTTGTTGAAAAGGAAGACGGTGGGTAGTGGTTGGGCGGGAGGTCCAAACGGTTCGGAAGCTTGAGAGAAAGGAAGGGAGAGCGGCGTGGGTAGGGATGGGGGTGGGGGACACGACTGGTTGGGGGTGGCTTCTTTACTTCCGGCGTATCAGTTTATCCTCCTGGCATCAGCTTCACTCGTTTACGTGGTTCGTCTTCCCCCTCCCCCCCCCGGCCCGCCCCTCCCCCCCCCCAGGGGTACCATGGTGGTCCGAAGGGGTCCTCGTCCCGCCCACCAGGCCCCGGGTCGCTCCCCCCCCGGTGTCCACCTGTACCAGGTGAAGGGGGAGGCGGTGGCGCTGGCACATGCAGGTGAGGAGAGGCAGGAGAGGAGGAGGGGGAGGGGGAGGGGGAACAGGAGGAGGGCAGCTGTGGGAGGTCAGAAGTCGTTGGAGGCCGCACATCAGCTACATAGCCTCCCCGGCGTGGCTACTGCAAGCAACCCCTCCCTCAATGCCGTCACCTTGGTGTCGCACTCCTCCACGCCCCACTCTTTTTCATCCTGTCCTCCAACCCACCCTGTCGTACAACTTCCTCCGCTGCTCCCCACTTCCTTTAGTTGCTTCACATCCTGTTGATTGTCCCCTCCTCTCTACCTCCTTTACCATCCGATTGGCAGTTGAGGTGGCCGCCTCCGCGTCCAGCTTGTGTGGCAACGATTGCTTCGTGTTGGAGCGGGCCAGCGAGGTGGGCGCGACGACAACCGAGCCGGTACTGCTGTGGCAGGGGGCCGCCAGCACCGAGGTCGAGCGGCAGGTGGCGGCGGCGGTAGCGGAGGTGTTGGCATCAGCTCCATCGGGAGTGCAGAGCGTCGAGGTGCGCGGGCGGGGCGGGGCCGCCTTTTCGGTGTCTAAGAGGGTCCCGCCTCCCGCGCCGCCGTCCTCCTGCACCAGGCGGGCGTTATTTACAAGAGCGAGAGTGAAGCGCTGTGTTGCGGGAGGTCTACAGTCCTTTCCGCAGGGGTGGCGGAGGCAACAGCTCTTTTGACCACCATTACGAGCACACCACCCATCACGTCACGCGGCGTGCCGTGGCCTCGTTGGGTGGACCCAAATCCCCTACCAGCTCTTACCTCCCATCGCGGCTCTCTACTCGGGGCTACTCTTCACACACCGCTGCACTGCCAACTCCCCCTAGAACGCACAAAAAAATTACAGATTCCAAAGCATAAGACAGTTGAGTTCTTTGCCGGTCATTGCTACAAAATTCCCCCGAACGCACGGCACATGGCATTTCACACACTGTCCGTTTTACACACCGTACCGCGCACCCAACATATCCCCACCCCACTTCCCGTTTCAACGTCGGCGGTTTTGACTCGTCCGCTTTTCCCACAAGTACGTGTATGGTTCCCCTGCCCTCCTCTCCCGCAGGAGGGTCGGGAGCCGGAGTCATTTTGGGCGGCTCTGGGCGGCAAGGCCGACTACGGCGCCCCCTCAGGTGGCCTCCCTCCTCGCGGCGGCCCCCGGCCTGCCCCCCGGCTGTTTCACCTGGTCGACACAGCGGGGGCCCCGGGGGCTCGGGCCGGTCTCAAGGTCCAGCTGCTCACCACCTTCTCCCAGGACTGCCTCAATAACGATGACGTGATGCTGCTCGATACGGGGTCAGAGGTGAGGGAGGTGTGGAAGGCGTAGATTTGTGCATCTGTACATATGTAGGTGTGTGTGTGTGTTTATATTATGGCAGGGACTACCATTACCCAACACAGAGGTCCCCAGAGTTAGGTTCTTACAGTCGCACTGAAAGGTTGCTGGTCGTTATGGATGGGGGTATGTCTGTGGGTCTGCATCTAACGTGGCTAGCACGCACGCACGCACCCCTTATCCAACCCGATTGCGCAGCCACTCTACATTATACACTCACCACTACATAGGGATGCATATACATAGGGATGGCGCGCAGCACAAGCCGCTGCAAGCTGTAAGAGGTGCAGCAACGCGGGCTGCTCCATCCCTTTCATGCTCCTCCCCTCCTCCCTCATGTATGTATGTATGTATGTATGTATGTATGTATGTATGTATGTATGTATGTATGTATGTATGTATGTATGTATGTATGTATGTATGTATGTGTATGACGTTGATTACACTGTGGGCTGAAAAGCCGGGGGCCCAGGGCCGAAGCACAGCGCGGGGGGCGGGTGCATACGGCTGGTTAGTCTCATGCACTCCGCCCCCGGGTCAGGCCGCACGGGAAACGACGGCCGGCATGTGTATGTATGTATGTATGTATGTATGTATGTATGTATGTATGTATGTATGTATGTATGTATGTATGTAACAACTAATCCATGGGGCGCCTCGGATCCCTCCTCATATGATTCACACTATGATCACATCTCGCCACACACACCCGCACGCAGTTGTACGTCTGGTACGGTTCGTCTTGCAAGCACACGGAGCGTCCTCGGGGCCGCGACGTGGCGCAGCGCTACCTGGCGGCATGTGGCCGATCGGGCGCGGCCAGCCTGGTGGAGGTCGAGTCAGGACAGGAGCCGCCCTTCTTCACGTGCCACTTTGTCGGCTGGGACAAGGAGGCCGTGACGACCATCCCGGATGTGTATGCGGACAAGCTGCGAGCGATGGCGCTGGAGAAGGCGGCCAAGGATGCGGCAGCGCAGGAAGCTAAGGAGGAGGCCAAGTAGGGCGGGCGGTCTGAGGCAAGGAGGCGAGGGAGGTGAAGACGACGCGCAGCTTGAGGCGAGAGAAGCAGTGGCGGGCAGCTATAGCGGGCACCCCCACCCACCTCTTGGCCTTGGACCTAGGAGACATTTGGGTGCGTTGAGGTGCAAAACGGAGCATATTTGACTGCGTATATGGGCGGGGCCTATATGTATGATGAGCATGGTGCATTTATGTATGTATGTATGTATGTATGTATGTATGTATGTATGTATGTATGTATGTATGTATGTATGTATGTGGGTTCGTGGTTGCCACGCGGTGCGTGGTCATTGTGTGTATGTACATATGTATGTAAATACGTTCATAGTGATACGGTGGTAAAGCTCGGAATGCATCGTATCGCATAGCATATGTGGATGAGTTTGGATTAGGGACAGGCTCGGGTCTGTTGTCGATTTGGGTGTTGATGGGGGTTATTTGCAGGCCGGGGCGAAAGAGCCTCTCCTCCGCTGTCTTAAGATGTAGGCTGTGGGATAGCGTGTCCTGACGTTAACGGAGGTTGGTGAGGTGGTACAGCGGGTACACAGCGAACGAGTGACCGGCGGGTGCACCCCTTTCAAGTGTGTGACCAGGTGAAAACGCGCAGGGGAAGGGTGGGGACGTATAGATGGCCGGAGTAGGTGGGTAGGTGCGCGAGCGAGCAGCCAGCAGCCTGTGAATAATTTTGGGTGTGCAGATTTTGGATGTGCGGATTAGGATCGCCCCCTCGTGGGGACGGGGGGACGTGACGTGCGTAAGATAAAGAGATGTGCACGTTCTCGGCTGGCAGGCTGAGTACCATGTTCGGCACATCTACATTAACGAGCTGATAGCGAGGTCGCTGTGTCGCGTGGCGTGGGGCTCTGCTCTGAGCGGGCTGTCAGACGAACCGTGTACGAAGCGGAAGGCCGCCATTGCGGCGCGGAAGTAGGACGGTTGGCTAGGTGGTGGTGGTGGTGGTGGTGGTGGTGGTGGTACCTCGTTGCGCCGTCCGAGTAGCGTGCTGTGCTGTGCGTGACGGAGCCTCCGCCGGTCTAGAGTCCGCACGCTGATAGCTCCAAAGTTGAAATGACTCCGGTCCTGTTCCTCTCTGTGACTTTCGGCACCTACCTGGGAAGGTGTTTGGGGGCCGCTGCTGGCATCAGAAGGCTGTCTGGTGGGTTAATGCTGTTAAGGTTGCACTTGCAACCCATATCAGCGGCCGTGTTACCGCTCGGACTTAAATAAACGCTTTTGCGCCGCATTGCTAACACGCAATAATGATTGTGCAAAAGCTCGCCGCACTGACAGAGTCTGCTGGGGCTCCATTGCGATGGCAAACGCATGGAAAGCTCCCGGATGGGCGCCATCGGAGGGACGGTGATTGTGGAGGTGGCAGTCCGAATACACCAAAAGTATGTCTTTCAGTGGTAATTGTATTTTTGGAGGATGTCATTTCATCGATATCCGTGCCTGTGCCGGTTTTGCTGGCCCGACGTGATTTAAACGGCGATAGCACTATCTATCTATGTATCTGTGCTAGCCTTCCGCCAACCCGCTCCCCAAAGCAGAAGTCTTATTGTTCCCCACCATTCCTCAACTTAGGCCGCTCCACCTTCCGGTCAATCCTTCGGTCCAAACCGGCAATTGCCCACCCAGCCAGCCAGCGCTGTTGCTGGTTCAGCTGACGTCACTCACGGTTTCGGCCACTTGGTGGTTGGTTGTGGAGTGCGTGTGGCTCCTCCACCTCCTGTCGACACGGGAGAACACCTCATACCAGAGACGGTAGCAAGCCTCTTAACTAACATAACCGTCACGGCTCCAATTTTCAGGCGTTGACGGGGCCGCCGCAGGGCGCCGCTGCCTTTCACGTGGGGCCCCACAGGTCCGCGGTGGTCCCCGGGGACGCAGTGCCGCCCTTTCCCCTCCCCTTCTCTAGCTGGCCTCGCTCCTCAACCCCGGAGCCCCTCGCCGCTATCACCTTGCCTCTCACCACCATCGCCTCGGCGGGAGAGAGAGAGGACGGAGGATTCAACGTGCTGTGCTGCTTCACAAACAGGGCGCATCTGAGCTACCACTGCCCCGCAACTGGCTGATTGACTAACGGACAGACACTGGAAACAACTGCGCCTCAAACATTCACACACTCTCGACATCCATCCTGCCACAAGACATGGCTTTTGTATCAGCCACAAGTTTGTAACCCCCACAACAACTCCATCAGGCAGTTCACTGCACACGTCGTTCACGCAATTCACAAAAATCACGCAAAGAATGAAAGTGCAGGATTGCGGGTTTCCCCCCCCCCGCCATTTCCACATAAACGGATGAGACTGGTTGAAGCGCACATGCAAAGACAGCACCCAGGTGGTAGGATATCTTGTCACCCGGCGCATCCGCCTTAACAGCCTCGCGCGCCGTCCGAGTCCGCGTACCCCCGGGTCCCACGGGGTGAGCCCCTAGGGGGCCCTAAGGGGCACAGCCCGCCAGCTGCGGCCGCTGCTACTGCTGCTGCTGCTGCTGCTGCTGGTGGTAATAATGATGATGATGGTGATGACGATGATGATCTAGAATGCACCTCCAACAAATCTTCAGACGCAGTGCGCCCCGCAGCTGCCGCACCTCACCTCAAACCTTCAAGCACACACCTCCCTCCCGCATATTCCTTCCACCCCCCATTGGTACACATGCACACATGCGAGCGAGTGACAAATCTCCCCCTCCCGTCTCAAGTCCTTCCCGGTTCTATAATCAACAGATGTGGAGGTAACAGCGGAGGTGCTGAGGGCGGGTGTGCGAGGAACCCGTCCGCCCCCACCCACCGACCCACCGACCCACCCACCGACCCACCCACCCGGCCGCGGGGGACAACAGGATTCGCGAACCGCGCCGTTGGCCAACACGTGCCATGGCGCCCGCCGGCGGAACCCCCGGCCGGGACAAAACACACAAAACCCCGCTTGCTGGTTGGGTCTCCGAACTCCGCACGGAGGGGCTAATGTATCGTACATAGCTGAAGCAGCGGCAGTTCGGGCTTGCCACAGTGTTCCGTTCGCTGCGTGATTCCGCAGAGCTGTTACCATGTCTGTTTGACAGCCCCTCCGGTCGTGAAGCTCTTTTAGCGGCTATCTAAAGCGACTCTCAGGACAGACACCAGCAGGTGCTGGTACTGCCCCCGAGGACGACATGGATTCACCTGACTGACGTCATGAAACCCGCACCGCCGCCGCCCCCTCCGCCTTCCTCGCGAGGGAGTTATCCGCCTCCCCCCCTTCCTCCTTCACCTTCGCCTGCCCCCACCGCAGCAGCACCCTGTCCGCCGCCTCCCTGACCTCCCTCCACGCCGCCTCCACGTGCTCCAGCTGGGTGGTGGCACTGCCCACTGCCAGACGAAGAGTGAAGCGGCCCCCCAGCTCTGTGTGGATCAGGAACATGCGGCCGCTCGAGTTGATCTCGTCCAACAGCGCCTCATTAACTTCCCGGGGGACATCCCGGAGTCTGGGAGCGGGGTGTGGTGGAAGGGGTGTGTGGCAATGTGGTCGTGGCGGAAATGTGATCGTGTGGCGCCGGTGGTGAAAAAGGGCGAAAAAGGGTTTCGTGTCCTTAGGAAGGACACGAAACCCGGGCAGAGGAGGAAGAGGGAGGGAGAGGATGGGAACGGGGGAGCAGGTGAGGGGCGGTGCGCATCAGGCGCCGGAAGACCAAAAGGCCAAACACATGCGCAGAGAAGAGAGAAAGAAAGAGATAGGGGGACGAGAAACGCGGGAGAAGAAATGTGGACAGGGGACTTGCGGGAAGGGTGACGGCGACGGCGATACCCATCTCTGCATTCCGCCGCCATCCACCTCGGAATACGTATCCTTAGCCTGTTCGTCGATATGTCTGTCATGCTCCCTCCATGCCCATGTTTCCGCGTCCATAGAAATGGAAACTGAGCCCCCCTCTCTCCCTCCCTCCCCTTCCCTTCCCTGACCTGAAACACACGAGTCCAAATCGTTGCGGCGCCGCGAGCTCGAACCTCGGGTCGGATGTCACCTCGGCCGCAAACACCTGCGCCATCGCGATGTGGTGTCGAAGGTACGACCGCAGCTTCTCCGCGCCGTACATCCGGAGCACGAAGTACAACTTCAGGGACCTGCATACATACATACGTGCGTACATGTGCAGGCGCGGGGTGGTGGTGGGAGTGGGGCCCCGCCAGGGAGATCGGCTGCTACCCCCCCCGGGGGGAAAGGTCGGCAGGGGTTCCTTTCTTTGCGGCGATGGGAGGCTTTCCATCGTGGGGAAGGGGGGGGGGTTAGGTGTGGCGAGGCAAATGCGCGCGCGTGTGTGTGTGGGGGGGGGGGACCCTGCCGATGATGGAACGGTGATGGACCGACAAGGTTGTGGTGAGGGAGACCTGTGAGCCGACCGACCGGGAGGAGAGAGACAATGGAGCTGTCGATGACGCCGTTGATCTGGGGACAGATGAGTCCACTGGTGCTGGTGGTGGGTGGTGGTGGTGGTGGTGGTGGTGGTGATGTAGTGGTGGTGTGGTTAAGGAACTCGGAAAAGTCTCTCACTGACTACTCACTGACAGAGGTCGTCACTTTTTCACACACATACGGGTGGTGGTCATGATGAGGAGGGGGAGGAGGGTACCCCGGGTGCTGCCCGCAGGCTCATCGGGATGGCCAGCACCATAGGGTGGAGCCCCTCTGTAAAACCCATCCCCCCACCTACTTCACACAATCGTACACACATACATACACACGCACGGACACACATACACACACACCTGAACCTGCGTCCTAGCGGTATTTGCCAGTCCTTGTAATCCAGGGCGTTACCCGTCGCCTGGGGGGACGGGGGGGGAAGGGGGGATGGGA